ATGGTGCAAGACCAGGGGCAATAACCTCTAGGGATCTCCAGACAGCCCGGCGACCCAGGATCTCACAGGAAGACAACACCCCCCAGCAGCCCTCTCAGGGCGGGCGCTCAGGACCTTCCCAGGTTCCGTGAGCCATGGGGTCCTCTCAGGTGCGTCGTGTTCCCCGCCAGGCACCCAGGGCTACGGTGCCCTCTCCCAGGAGCCCCTATAACGCTGATGGGTAATTGTCATACAATTGCATCACGTCCCGCAATTCCTTCCTTAACTGTGATTGGTGGACTAAATGTAAATCCACCAAATTTCAGCAATAAGGAGAACAGAGCAGTAAGTCAGCACAACTGTATGTTTTTTCCTGTTGGATATTTAGTCTCCTTTACATTGACTGTGATGCGATGATGCTGGAAATGCGATGGGCAGTATATATATTTAACGTCATATCTCCATTGTTCTAAATGGGTGCTGAAACAACTGCCCCCAAGAAGGAACTACAGGTGTTGTACATATTGCATTCGTCAACAATTCAGCCTAACTGTGATTGGTGGACTAAATATATATACACCATATTACAGCCAATAGAACAGAACAGTCAGTCAGCACAACACCCCAACTTATGTTTTCCTGTTGGATGTTAGTCTCCTTTACATTGTTCATGATCGCGATGATACTAAAATGCGATGGGGCGGTGTATTTATTTAGCATCATATCTCCCATTGTTCTAAATAGTGCTCAAACAACTGTCCCAGGGGGAACTTACAGAGGGTATACGTCAGACCTCTCGCTTACCATACCAGGTGCAACGCCCCCTGGGGCCCTCTCAGGGGCGTCGGGAAGATTAAGAAGGCCTCCCAGAGGAGGTAGCGTCCCCAAGGGGCCATTCAGGGACGTCGGTGAACAAGGGTCCTCACAGGAAGCGGTGCTGCAGGGGCCGTCAGGCAGCCACAACACCTGAGGCCTTTCAGGGCGGCAGCAGAACAATGAGGGGCCCGACCAGGGCGGCAGTAACCTCAGGATCCTCCCAGCGAGGGCAGCGACCCCAGGGGGTCCTCACAGAAAGAGCGGCACCCCCAGCAGCCGTCTTAGAGGCGGCAGCTCTCTGGGACCTTCCCAGGTTCGTGGATGACCCCTGGGGGCCCCTCAGGTGCGTCGTCGTCCCCATAAGAACTTCCAGAGACTCTGATTGCTTCTCCCAGAGCCCTATAACTTGCTTAGTCTTGGTGGCCATTGCATATTGCATACGTCTCATAATTCCTTCCTTAACTGTGATTGTTGGACTAAAATGTAAATCACCAGAGTACAGCCAATAGGAAGAACAGAGCAGTAAGTCAGCATAACACCCCCCCAACTATGTTTCTGTTGGATGTTAGTCCTTTACATTGTTCATGATGTGATGATACTGGAAATGCGATGGGCAGTATATATACTGGCATCATATCTCCCATTGTTCTAAATGGTGCTAAAAACAACTGTCCCCAAGAGGAACTACAGGTGTACATATTGCATTAGTCAACAATTCATTCCTTAACTGTGATTGGTGGACTAAAATGTAAATACACCATAATACAGCCAATAGAGGAGAACAGAGCAGTAAGTCAGCATAACACCCCAACTTATGTTTTCCTGTTGGATATTTAGTCTCCTTTACATTGTTCCTTGATGTGATGATACTGGAAATGCGATGGGCAGTGTATTTATACTGCGTCATATCTCCCATTGTTCCTAAATAATTGCTTAAACAACTGTCCCAGGGGCACTACAGGGGAGTAGCACATCAGACCCTCTCGCTTACCATACCAGGTGCAACGCCCCTGGGGCCCTCTAGGCGTTGGAGAAACCCTAAAGAGCCCTCCCAGAGGAGGCAATTATTGCCAGGGGCTCTTTCAGGACGTCAGTGTGAAACCAGGGGTCCTCACAGGAGGAAGGCAGCTGCAAGGGGCAAATCAGGCAACCTGGCAGGGCACTCAGAGGTAAGCAGCTAATGGTGCAAGACCAGGGGGGCAGCCAACCTCTGGATCCTCCAGGGCAGCAGCGACAGAGTTCTTCACAGGCGCACCCCCAACGGCCTCTCCAGAGGCGGAGGCTCTGGGACCTTCCCAGGTTCGTGTGACCATAAGGGTCTCCCAGGTGCGTCGTGAGTCCCCCTCGGCCCCTGCTGCAGGGCTCACGGTGCCCTCTCCAGAGCCCTGCTTGCTTTGGTCGTGGTGTCGTACAGTGCATACGTCCCGCAATTCCTTCCTTAACTGTGATTGGTGGATAAAATGTAAATCACAGAATTTCAGCCAATAGGAGAACAAGAGCAGTAAGTCAACACAACCTCCCACTTATGTTTTCCTGTTGGATATTTAGTCTCCTTACATTGTTCATGATCTTGATGATACTGGAAATGCGATGGGCAGTATATATATTTAGCGATCATATCTCCATTGTTCTAAATGGTGCTAAAACAACTGCCCCCAGAGGAACTGGAGTGTTGTACATATTGCATTCGTCAACAATTGCTTCCTTAACTGTGATTGGTGGACTAAAATATATGCACCATATTACGTAATAGGAGAACAGAACAGTCAGTCAGCTGCTTTTAATATGTTTTCCTGTTGGATATTTAGTCTCTTTACATTGTTCATGATGCGATGATGCTGGAAATGCGATGGGCGGTGTGTTGTTGCGTCATATCTCCCATTATTCTAAATAGTGCTCAACCTTTGTCCCAGGGGCACTACAGGGTAACGATCCAGACCCTCTAAACTACCATACCAGGTGCAACGCCCCTGGGGAGCCTCTCAGGGGCATCGAGGAAGATTAAAGGCCACCCAGAGAGGCAAGCGTCCCCAGGGGCCATTCAGGGACGTCGAGGTGAAACCAGGGGGTCCTCACAGGAAGCTGACTGTAAGGGGGCGTCCCAGGGGTGACACAACAGAGGCCCCTTTCAGGGGCGGCAGCAGACAATGAGGCCCGACCAGGGGCGGCAGCCAACCTCAGGGATCCTCCCAGCGGGCGGCGACCCAGGGGTCACCTCACAGAAGGCGGCACCCCAGCCTGACCCGTCTCAGGCCGGCGGCTCTCTGGGACCTTCCCAGGTTCGTGGTGACCCTAGGGGCCCACTCAGGTGCGTCGTCGTCCCCATGAAACCCTCCCAGGAGACTCTGGTGCCCTCTCCCAGGAGCCTATAACTGCTTGGTCTTGGTGTAGTACATATTGCATAGATCTCTTAATTCCTTCCTTAACTGTGATTGGTGGACTAAATGTAATCACTAAATTACAGCCAATGAAGAACAGAGCAGTAAGTCAGCATAACTACCCCAACTTATGTTTTTCCTGTTGGATATTTAGTCTCCTTTCCATTGTTCATGATCGATGATACTGGAAGTCACGATGGGCAAGAATGTATTTATATAACGTCCTTATCTCCCATTGTTCTAAATGGTGCTCAACTACTTTACTGGAAGGTACAGGTGTTGTACATTGCATTAGATCAACAATTCATTCCTTAACTGTAGATTGGTGGACTAAATGTAAGTACACCATAATACAGCCAACTGGAGAAACAGAGCAGTAAATCGCTCCTTTTAACTTATGTTTTCCTGTTGGATATTTAGTCTCCTTTACATTGTTCATGATCACGTGATACTGGAAATGCGATGGGCAGTGTATTTATATAACGTCATATCTCCCATTGTTCATAGTGTTTAAACAACTGTCCCAGGGCACTACGGGTAGCACATCAGACCCTCTCGCTTGCCATACCAGGTGCAACGCCCCTGGGGCCCTCACAAGGGGCGTTGGAGCTCAAAGGCCCTCCCAGAGGAGGCAGTGTCCCCAGGGCCGCTTTCAGGGACGTCCAGTGAAACCAGGGGTCCTCACAGGAAGGCGGCGCTGCAAGGGCCGTCAAAGGCGGCCACAACACCAGGTCCCTTTCAGGGGTGGCAGCGACAATGGTGCAAGACCAGGGGGGCAGTAACCTCTGAGATCCTCCAGAGACGGCAGCGACCCAGGGGTCCTCACAGGAAGACAGCACCCCCAGCGGCCCTCTCAGGGGCGGGGCGCCTCTGGGACCTTCCCAGGTTCCGTGGTGACCATAGGGGTCCTCTCCAGGTGCGTCGTCGTCCCCAAACGCCCCCAGGGGCTACGTGCCCTCCCAGAGCCCTATACCTTGCTTGGTCGTGGTGTGTACAATTGCATACGTCCGCAATTCCTTCCAACTGCTGATTGGTGGACTAAAATGTAAATCCACCCAAATTACAGCCAATAGAGAACAGAGCAGTAAGTCAGCACATAACACCCCAACTTATGTTTTCTGTTGGATATTTAGTCTCCTTTCCATTGTTCATGATGCGATGATACTGGAAGTCACGATGGGCAGTGTATTTATAAACGTCATATCTCCCATTGTTCTAAATAATTAATAGCTTTCTTCATCCCAGGGGCATTACAGGGGTAGCACATCAGACCCTTTCGTTTGCCGTACCAGGTGCAACGCCCTGGGAACCCTCTCAGGGGCGTCGGAAGATTAAAGGCCCTCCCAGAGAGGCAGCAACTTGGGGGCCATTCAGGGACGTCAGTGAAACCAGGGGGTCCTCACAGGAAAGGCGGCGCTGCAGAGGCGTCCAAAGGCCTGACCTAACCTGAGGAGCCACTTTCAGGGGCGGCTTGGCGACAATGGGGGCCCGACCAGGGGCAGCAATGCTTATCAGGATCCTCCCAGCGAGGGCAGCGACCCCAGGGGTCCTCACAGAAGGCAGGCACCCCCAAGCGGCTCTCAGGGGCAGTGGCTCTCCTGGAACCTTCCCAGGTTCGTGGTGATATAGGGGTCCTCTCAGATTAGATCGTCGTCCCATGGCCCTGGGGCTGGTGCCCTCCCCAGGAGGCCTGCTTGTAGTCTTGGTGTGGGTACATATTGCACTTACGTCTCGCAATTCCACTTCCTTGACTGTGATTGGTGGACTAAAATGTAAATCCACCAAATTTCGTAATAGGAGAACAGAGCAGTAAGTCAGCACAACTTACCCCCAATATGTTTTTCCTGTTGGATATTTAGTCTCCTTTACATTGTTCATGATGCGATGATACTGGAAATGCGATGGGCAGTGTATATATTTAACGATCATATCTCCATTGATTTTATAAATGGTGCTAAAACAACTGTCCCAGAGGAACTACAGGTGTTGTACATATTGCATTAAGTCAACAATTTCATACCTTAACTGTGATTGGTGGACTAAAATATATACCATATTACAGCTAATAGGAGAATAAGAGCAGTAAGTCAGCATAACACCCCAACTTATGTTTTCCTGTTGGATATTTAGTCTCCTTTACATTGTTCATGATCTGCGATGATGCTGGAAATCTGATGGGCAGTATATTTATAAAACATCATATCTCCCATTGTTCTAAATAATTGTGAAAAACTGTCCCAGGGGCATTACAGGGGGTAGCACATCAGACCCTTTCGTTTGCCATACCGGGTGCAACGCCCCTGGGGCCCTCTCAGGGCATCCCGGAGATTAAAGGCCCTCCCAGAAGGCAGCTGAGGGCCATTCAGGGGCGTCCGGTGAGAAACAAGGGGGTCCTCACAGGAAAGGCGGCGCTGCAAGGGGCCGTCAAGGCAACCCACAACACGCAGGAGCCTTTCAGGGCAACAGCGGGTGTGGGGCCCGACCAGGGCAGCAGTAACCTACAGGGATCCTCCCAGCGAGGGCAGCGACCCCAGGGTCCTCACAGGAGAAGGCGGCACCCCCAGCGGCACGTCTCAGAAGCCCGGCCTGACGCTCTCTGGGACCTTCCCAGGTTCAAGTGGTGACCCCTAGGGGCCTCAGGTGCGTCGTCGTCCCCCATATAGGCCCTCAGGGGACTGCGTGCCCTCCTAGGAGCCCTACTCTCAAACTTGCTTGGTCTTGGTGTCGTACATATTGCATCGTCTACTTAATTCCTTCCTTAACTGTGATTGGTGGACTAAAATGTAAAATACACCACCATATACAGCCAATAGGAGAACAGAGCGATCAGTCTTTTTCTTTAACATATATAATTGGATATTTAGTCTCCTTTACATTGTTCATGATCGATGATGGCAAATCACGATGGGTGATATATATATTTAACATCCTTATCTCCATTGTTGTAAATGGTGCTAAAACAACTTCTTTAGAGGAACTGGAGTGTTGTACATATTGCATTAAGTCAACAATTCTTCATAACATGATTGGTGGACTAAAATATATATATACATATTAAGTGGGAGAACAGAGCGATGAGTCAATATAACACCCCCAACTTATGTTTTTCCTGTTGGATATTTAGTCTCCTTTACATTGTTCATGATGCGATGATACTGGAAATCGATGGGCAGTGTATTTATAAAACATCATATCTCCCATTGTTCTAAATGAATTAGCCGCCAACTATACAGGAGCATTACAGGGGTAGCACATCAGACCCTTTCGTTTGCCATACCAGATTACCCAACGCCCCTGGGGAGCCCTCTCCAGGGGCGATAAATGGAAACTCAAAGGCACCCAGAGGAGGCAGTGTCCCCAGGGGCCGTTCAGGGACGTCTGTGACAGGATCTCACAGGAAAACTCTTGCTGCAAGGAGCGTTCAAGTGACCATAAATACAGAGTCCCGTTTCAGGGGCTGCAGCCATAGGGGCCTTACCAGGGGCGGCACTAACCTCAGGGATCCTCCCAGGAGCAGCAGCGACCCAGGGGTTCTCACGGAGACAGCACCTCAGGGCCCTGTCGGGGCAGCGGCTCTCAGGACCATCCAGAATGCCGTGAGACACCTAGGGGCCCTCTCCAGGTGCGTCGTAGTCTAAAAAACCCTCCCAGGGAAGTAGTGCCCTCTCCCAGGAGCCCTATAGCTTGCTGGTGGTTTGTTACATATTGTATGCGTCCGTAATTCCTTCCTTAACTCTGATTGGTGGACTGATATGTAAATCACAAGTACAACCAATAGGAGAACAGAGCAGTAAGTTAGCACTGCTTACCCCAATATGTTTTCTATTGGATATTTAATCTCCTTTACATTGTTCATGATGCGATGATGCTGGAAATGCGATCGGCAGTGTATTTATTTAACATCATATCCCATCGTTCTAAATGGTGCTAAAACAACTGCCCCAGAGGAACTACAGGTGTCGTACATATTGCATTCGTCCAACAATTCATTCCTTAACTGTGATTGGTGTATCAAGTGAAACATGTATATGGAGCAAGTAACAAGATCACTAGAGTACAAGATGATGTAATCGCTAGATTAAGGTACGAATAAAGTGCTCTGGCAGTATGTTTCCTCAAGCAGATGTGAACAAAACTAAATGTAAAGTGTGGCCAGATATATGGCCACTCCACGCAGTTCGAATGACTTACTCATTATATAAACCTAAGCAAAGAATTTATTTGAAATAATCTGTAACATTCAATGCCATAATATCCTGACTACGGGGGTTAGTTATAACGACCCTTTGTGAACTACTATACTGCAATTCTTTTGCTACGCTCACAGGATGAGTATGGGTTGCACAATAAACTAGCCGCTGTAAGTGGCAAAAATAAAATCCCTGCCTCCCTCTCTGTCTCCCTGCCTCCCTCCTTTCTGCCTCCCTCCCTCCTGCCTCCTCCTTCCCTCCTGCCTCCTCTCTCCCTCCCTCCTGCCTCCCTCCCTCCTCCCTCCCTCCTGCCTCCCTCCTCCTCCCTCCCTGCCTCCCTGCCTTCCTCCCTCCTGCCTCTCCTCCCCTCCCTCCCTCCTGCTCCTTCCATCCCTCCTCCCTCCCTCCTCCCTCCCTTGCCTCCTCCTTCCTCCTGCCTGCCTTCCTCCCTCCTGACTCCTCCATCCTCCTGCCTCCCTCCTGCCTCCCTCCTCCCTCCCTCCCTCCCTCCTCCCTCGGCCTCCTGCCTACCTCCCTGCCTACCTCCTGCCTCCCTGCTGCATCCTCCATGCCTCCTACCATCCCTGCCTCTCTCCTTTTAGCCATCTCTACCCTCCTCTTCTCTCCCTGCCTCTTGCATCCCACCCTGCCTCGTTCCTACCTCCGTCCCTGCCTCCCTCTCTGCCTCCGTCCTGCCTCCGTCCTGCCTCCGTCCCTGACACCCTTCCTGCCTCCGTCCCTGCCTCGTTCCTGCCTCCCTCTCTGCCTCCGTCCCTGCCCTGTCTGCCTCCGTCCCTGCCTGCCTGCTAGCCGACCACTCTTCTTGCCTGCTGCATGCCCTCACGTGCCTACGATCTCCCTGCCTATCTCCTACCTGCCAGCCTCCCCTGCCTGACTGCCTCCCTCACTGCTTCCTTGTCAGGTTGTCACTTCGGGGTCTCAGCTGCCCTGCGCGGGCCTTGGGATCGGCCGCCTGGGAGGCCTCTGCGGACACAACCGCACCTGGGAGGCCTCTGGGGTCGCTGCCGCCCCTGGCAGACCCCTAGGGTCGCTCTGGGAGGCACAGGGGTCACCGCCATTACCTGGAGGGCCTCTAGGGGTCGCTGCCGCACCTGGGAGGCCCTTGGGGCCAGAGGTGCCTGAGAGCACCCCTACGGACGCCGTTGACTGGGGAGGCCCTGTGGGTGCCTCCACCCTGAGAGGGGCCCAGGATGCTCCTCTTGGGCCGGCTTCTGGGGTCGCCGGTGCCCATGGAAAGGCCCTTGGGGACACTGACATGCGTGGAAGGGCCCCTGGAGCAGTTGTTGTAGCACCATTTACAAAAAATGGGAATGTAACGTGCTCTCATCACTGCCCATCGCATTTCAGTATCATCGCATCATGAACAATGTAAGGAGCTAAATATGAGGAAAACATAAGTTGGGGTGTTGTTAACTGACTGACTGCTCTGTTCTCCTAATGGCTGTAATTTGGTGGATTTACATTTTAGTCTAATCACAGTTAGGGAAGGTCTGGGACGTGTATGCAATATGTCGCGACACCACATTCCAAAGCAAGTTATAGGGCTCCTGGGAGGGCACTGCAGCCCCTGTATGAGGGCCTATGGGGACATTTGACGCACCTGAGAGAGGCCCTAGGGTCTACAAGAACCTGGGAAAGGTCCCTGAGGCCACACGCCCCTGACCAGGCCCTGAAGTGCCGTCTTCCTGTGAGGACCCCTGGGGTCACCGCTCGCTGGGAGGATCCCTGGAGGTTACTGCCGCCCCTGAGTGGGGCCCCATTGTTCGCTGCCGCCCCTGAAAGGGCCTGCGTGTTAATGGCCGCCCCTTGGACGGCCCCTTGCAGTACTTCTGTGAGGGACCCCTGGTTTCTGACGTCCCTGGAATGGCCCCTGGGGGCGCTGCCTCCTCTGGGAGGCCTTTGTCTCTCCGGCCCCTGAAGGAGGGCCCCAGGGGCATTTCACCTGAAGTATGGTAAGCGAGAGGGTCTGTCGCGCTTCCCTGTAGTGCCCCTGGGACAGTTGTTTGAGCACCTAATGGGAACAATGGGAGATATGACGTTATATAAATACACTGCCCATCGCATTTCCAGTATAATCGCATCATGAACAATGTAAAGGAGACTAAATATCAACAGGAAAACATAAGTTGGGGTGTTGTGCTTTGACTTACTGCTCTGTTCTCCTATTGGCTGTGACCAGATGTATATATATTTTAGTCCACCAATGCAGTTAAGGAAGGTATTTGAATAAATGCAATATACCCAACACCTGTAGTTCCTCTGGGGCAGTTGTTTTAGCACCATTTAAGAACAATGGGAAATGACGTTAAATATATATACTGCCCTCGCATTTCCAGTATCTACATCATATCATGAACAATGTAAAAGGAGACTAAATATCCAACAGGAAAAACATAAGTTGAAGTGTTGTGCTGGCTTACTGCTCTGTTCTCCTATTGGCTGAAATTTGGTGATTTATTTTAGTCCTGTCACAGTTAAGGAGAATTGCAGGGGCATTATGCAATATATACTGACACGACCAAGCAAGTTATAGGGCTCTGGGAGAGGGCACCGTAGCCCTGGGTGGTGTATGGGGACGACAGCCGCACCTGAGGACTATGGTCACCACGGAACCTGGGAAGGTCCCAGAGAGCGCCGCCGCCCCTGAGAGGAGCCGCTGGGGTGCTGTCTTCTTGAGGACCCCTGGGGTCGCCACTTGCGTCTCCTGGGAGATCCTAGAGGTTACACCTGCCCCACAGGTCTTTTTCCATTAGTGCTGCGCCCTGAAAGAGACCTGGGGTATTGCGACCCTTGGGCCGGTCCTCGCCTTACCACCTTCTGTGAGACCCTGGTTTCACCGGCAGGCCTCTGGAGCGGCCCCTGGGGACGCTGCCTCCTCTCTGGGAGGGGCCCTTTAAGCTCTCCGATGCCCTGAGAGGGCCCCCAGGGGGCGTTGCACCTGTAACAAACAGAAAGGGTCTGGCGTGCTACCTGTAGTGCCCTGGGACATTGTTTGAGTACTATTTAGAACAATGGGGAGATGTGACGTTATATAAATATGCTGCTTATAGCATTTCCAGTAACATCAGCATCATGAATAATGTAAAGGAGACTAAATATCAGCAAGGAAAACATAAGTTGGGGTGTTGTGCTGACTTACTGCTCTGTTCTCTATTGGCTGAAATTTGGTGTATTTACATTTTTAGTCCCACCAATCACAGTTAAGAAGGGTTTGCCGGGCGTACCACCGTATGTGCAACACCACGACCAAACAGTTATAGGGCTCAGGAAGGCACACTTGTAGCCCCTGGGGGAGGCGTTTGGGGACGGCGACGCACCTGGGAGAATTTCGGGGTCACCACGGCACCTGGGAATGTCCCTGAGGCGCCACCGCCCCTGAGAGGGGCACCTGGGGTGCCGTCTTCCTGTGAGACCCCTGGGGTCGCCCGCCATCTCTGGGAGGATCCTGTGGTAGATCTCGATCCTGGGAGGAGGAGCCTAGGGCTGGCACCGCTGTCTCTGCCAGGAGCCCTGAGGTTCGCGGCCACCCGTGGTAGACCCCTTGGGTCGCTGCCCCCCCCTGAAAAGAGACCCTGGGGTTGTGGCCGCCCCTTGGACGGCCCCTTGCGATGCCTCCCTTCCTGTGAGACCTCTGGTTTTCACCGCCGTCCCTGGAACACACCCCCCTGGGGGGACGCTGCCCTCCCTCTGAGGAAGACCTTTGAGCAAATCCGACGCCCCTAAAAGACTGAGGGGAGCATTGCTGCTATGGCAAACAGGAGGCCTGACGTTACTTTCCCTGGCAATTGCCCCTGGGGCAGTTGTTTGAGAAACACCTATTTATAGCAATGGGAGATATGGCGTTATATAATACACCACTTATCTCACATTTCAGTATCATACATAATATGAACAATGTAAAAAGGAGACTAAATATCCAACAGGAAAACATAAGTTGGGGGTGTTGTGCTGACTTACTGCTCTGTTCTCCCTATTGGCTGTAATATGATGTATTTATATTTTTAGTCCACCAATCACAGATTAAGGAATGTGAATTGTTGAATGAATGCAATATATACAACACCTGCTTAGTTCCTCTGGGGGCAGTTGTTTAGCACCATTTAAGACAATGATATGATGTTAAAATAAATACTGCCGATCGCATTTCCAGTATCATCGCATCATGAACAATGTAAAGGAGACTAAATATCAACAAGGAAAAGCATAAGTTGAAGTGTTGTGCTAACTTACTGCTCTGTTCTCTATTATTTTTGTTGGTGGTTACATTTCAGTCCTAATCAGAACAGGAAGGAATTGCCGGACGTATGCAATATGTACAAAACCAAGACCAGAAAACAGCTATAGGGCTCCTGGGAGGGCACTGCTTCCCTGGGGAGGGTTTTTGGGGACGACGACACCTGAGAGGGCCCTAGGGTGTCCCGGCACCTGGGGGTCCCTGAGGGCCGCCGCCCCTAATAGACTGGGGTGCCCGTCTTCCTGTGAGAACCCCTGGGGTGCTTGGGTCGTCTCTAGGAGGAGGATCCTGGAGGTTAGTGCCGCCCTAGTGAGGCCCATGGAGTGCTGCCGCCCTGAAACGGGACCTGTATTTATGGCCGCCCATGATGGGCCCCTTGCAGCCTGGCAGCTTCTTAATATGAGGACCCCTGGTTTCTGAACGTCCTAGAATGGCCCTGGGACACTGCCTCCTCTGGGGAGGCCTTTGGCTCTACGACGCCCTAGAGAGGGCCCAGGGAGCGTTGCACCTGTGCCAGCAAACGAAAGGGTCTGATGTACTACCCTGTAAGCCTGGGACAGTTGTTTAAAGCACTATTTAGAACAATGGGAGATATGACGTTTTATAAATACACTGCCCATCGCATTTCCAGTATAGCATCATGAACAATGTAAAGGAGACTAAATATCAACAAGGAAAACATAAGTTGGGGGTGTTGTGCTGACTTACTGCTCTGTTCTCCCTATTGGCTGAAATTTGGTGGATTACATTTTAGTCCGCAATCACAGTTAAGGAAGGTGTTGTGGGGCGTATGCAGTGCCGACACCCACGACCAAGCAAGTTATAGGGCTCCTGGGAGGGCACATTACCCCTGGGTGGGCCTATGGGGACGACGGCTTGCACCTGAGAGGACTATGGTCACCACGGAACCTGGAAAGGTCGAGCACCGCCCGCCCCTGAGAGCGCTGGGGTGCGATCTTCTGTGAGACCCCTAGGGGTCGCCGCCCCACCATGGGAGGATCCTGGAGGTTACTGCCGCCCTGGTCAGGCCCCCGTGAGTCGCTGCCGCCCCTGAAAGTGGCCCTGCGTGTTGTGTACGCCCCTTGGACGGCCCTTGCAGCACCGCCTGTGAGGACCCCTGGTTTCCTGACGTCCCTGGAATGGCCCCTGGGGGCGCTGCCTCCTCTGGGAGGGAGCCTTTAATCTCCGGCCTTACAAGGGGCCCCAGGGGACGTGCACCTGGTATGGTAGCGAGAAGGGGTCTGACGTGCTACCCCTGTAGTGCCCCTGGGACAGTTGTTTGAGCACTATTTAGAACAATGGGAGATATGGCGTTAAATAAAATACACCGCCCATCGCATTTCGAGTATCATCATCTTGGATAATGTAAAAGAGACTAAATATCCAACAGGAAAACATAAATTGAGTTGTTATGCTGACTTGCACTCTGTTCTCTATTGGCTGTAATATGGTGTATATATATTTTAGTCCACCAATGCAGTTAAGGAAGGAATTGTTGGACAGATACTAATATGTACAACTATAGCCAGTTCCTCTGGGGACAGTTGTTTTTAGCACCTATTTTAGAACAATGGGAGATATGACGTTTGCTCATCACCATATCGCACATTTCCAGTATCATCGCATCATGAACAATGTAAAAAGGAGACTAAATATCCAACAGGAAAAACATAAGTTGGGGTGTTGTGCTGACTTACCTGCTCTGTTCTCTATTGGCTGAAATTTGGTGGTTACATTTTTGGTGCAATCACAGATTAAGGAAGGAACTAGCGGGACTATGCGGTGTACGACACCACGACCAAGCAAAAGTTATAGAGGCTCCTGGGAGAGGCACCGTAGCCTGGGTGGAGCTATGGGGCGACAGCGCACACCTGAGAGGGACCCCTATGGTCACCCACCGGAACCTGGAAGGTCCCAGAGGCGCCACGCTGAGAGCACGCTGGGGTGCCGTCTTCCTGTGTGAGGACCCCTGGGGTCGCCCGCCCTCGCTGGGGAGGATCCCTGGAGGTTACTGCCGCCCCTGGTCGGGCCCCATTGTTCGCTGCCGCCCTGAAAGTGGCCCTGCGTGTTGGCCGCCCTTGGACGGCCCCTTGCTTACGCCTTCCCTGTGAGGACCCCTGGACACCGGCGTCCCTGGAATGGCCTGGGATGCTGCCTCCTCTGGGAGGGGCCTTTAATCTCTCCAATGCCCCTGAGAGGGGCCCCAGGGGCGTTGCACCTGGTATGTGGTAAGCGGAGGGTCACGTGCTACCCTGTAGTGCCCTGGGACAGTTGTTTGAGCACTGGCCCCAGAACAATGGGAATGTGATGGCGTTGCATCAAATACACCGCCCATCGCATTTCTGTATCATCGCATCATGGGCAATGTAAAAGGAGACTAAGCGCCAACAGGAAAACATAAGTTGGATGTTGTGCTGACTTGCCACTAACTCTGTTCTCCTATTAAGCTGTATTATGTATTTACATTTTAGTCCACCAATCACAGTTAAGAAGAATTGTTGGACGAATGCAATATGTACGACATCTGTAGTTCTTCTGGGGGCAGTTGTTTGGCACCATTTAGAACAATGGGAGATATGATGTTATATAAATACACTGCCCATCACACCTCCAGTATCATCGCATCATGAACAATGTAAAGGAGACTAAATATCCAACAGGAAAACATAAGTTGGGGTGTTGTGCTGACTTACCGCTCTGTTCTCCTATTGACGTAATATGGTGTATTAACATTTTAGTCCACCTATAACAGTTAAGTGAGGAAATTGCTGGACGATGCTATAAGTACGATAAAACGACCAGACAAACTATAGGACTCCTGGGAGGGGCACTGCTTCTCCTGGTAGGGCGTTTCGGGTTGCAGACGTCTTGAGTGCCCCTGGGCTCGCCGCCACTACTAGGAGGTCCCTGGGGTGTCACTGCCCTTGTGTTACTCTGGGGCGCAGCTGACATGCAACACCACTGACTTTCTTCTGTTAAAGCTTATTTACTAGGTCAGACCAGGAAGCTCAGGAATGGATGGACATTTAATGGCCACCATAGCTGGCACCACAGTATACCCTTAGGTAGTTTGTTGATTTTCTGACTGATCTGTGATGTTAGCGCTATTTGATCTGCACCGTTATGACATTGTGGGTGTTGAAATATCGGATTTCAGTGCCATGGAATGAGCTATGGAACTGGTTGCAGAGAGATCATGATCGATGTTATCAACAACAGAGGTAAACACCCAGTCATGAGAGTAGGTGGGCATCCAGCTCCCAAGGCTTCACAGTGAGCAACAGCAGAGTTTGTCAGATCTGTAGACATACTCAGGACCCATCATAGGGAACAGACAGCCCCACCTGGTAAAGCGTGTCATTCAAATCCTTCGACCTGGTTTTAGCATGCACATATGCTCTAAGATGAGGTAAAGGTGGTTCTCATTTATGACTGTTAGGCGCTCTCAGGTGCACCTCTGGCCCCAAGGGCCTCCCATGTGCGGCAGCGACCAGAGGCCTCCCAGGTACGCGGTGACCCCAGGTGCCCTCCAGAGGTGTCAGCGACCCTAGGGCTCTGCCAGGGCAGCAGCGACCCAGAGGCCCTCCCAGGTGCGGTTGTGTCCGCAGAGGCCTCCCAGGGGCGGCTGCGATCCCACCGCGCAGGGGCAGCTGAGACCCCAGCAGACAACCAAGCAAGGAAGGGCGAGTGGGGGCAGTCAGGCAGGAGGCTGGCAGGGGAGATAGGCAGGAGACTAGCAGGCACGTAGGCATGGAGCAGGCAAGAAGAGGGTCACTAGCAGGCAGGCAGGGACGGAGGCAGGGACGGAGGCAGAGAGGGAGGCAGGGACGGAGGCAGGGACGGAGGCAGGGAGGGTGTCAGGGACGAGGCAGGGACGGAGGCAGAGAGGGAGGCAGGACGGAGGCAGGGTGGATGCAAGGGAGGCAGGGAGAGAAGTAGGAGGTAGAGATGGCTAAAAGGAGAGAGGCAGGATGGAGGTAGGGAGGCATGGAGGATGGCAGGCAGGAGGCAGGGAGGGAGGCAGGGAGGTAGGCAGGGAGGTAGGCAGGAGGCCGAGGGAGGGAGGAGGGAGGGAGGGAGGAGGCAGGAGGGATGGAGGAGCCAGGGAATGAGGGAGGAAGGCAGGAGGGAGGAGGAGGCAGGCAGGGAGGAGGGAGGGAGGGAGGGAGGCAGGAGGCAGGGTGGGAGGAAGGCAGGGAGGCAGGGAGGAGGGAGGGAGGCAGGGGAGGGAGGAGGAGGGAGGGAGGCAGGAGGAGGGAGAGAGGGAGGCAGGAGGAAGGAGGAAGCAGGAGGGAGGGAGCAGAAAGGAGGAGGCAGGAGACAGAGAGGGAGGCAGGATTAATTTTATTTTTGCCACTTACAGCGGCTAGTTTATTGTGCAACCCATACTCATCCTGTAAGCGGTAGCGCAAAAAATTGCAGTGTGTAGTTCACAAAGGGTCGTTATAACTAACCCCGTAGTCAGGATATTGGCATTGAATGTTACAGATTATTTCAAATAAATTTTGTTTAGGTCTATACATAATGAGTAAGTCATTCAGAACTGCGTGAGAAGAGTGTGTGGCCATATATCTGGCCACACACTTTACATTTAGTTTTGTTCACATCTGCTTGAGGAACATACTGCCAGAGGCACTTTTATTCGTAACCCTAATCTACGATTACATCATCTTGTACTCTAGTGATCTTGTTACTTGCTCCATATACATGTTTCATTGATATCTCATCATGGTAAACAATGGATTGACACGTGTTCGTTTGCACTTCTCTGCTTGCGTCAAACCCATCAATAAGTTCCTTCATAATTACAAATTTAAATTTTTTTTACAAACCCAAATTATATTCAACAGTGTTTGTTAGACGCGAGTTTGGCGATAGCATCAACTCTGTCATGTTTTATGAGGCCTATGTGATTGACCCCGACACCCCGGTCAAGGAACGCATATTTGTGTCTGGCTTCAGAGACAAGCGCGTGACAACTGGAGTTGAGGGTACCAAGGGCAAGTAGTGAAGCTAGAGAGTCAGTGATGATGAGACTGTCCGTAACAGTGAGTTTCAATGAATTTAATAGCCGAGTATGGCAACTAACTTATTTTGTAGAGTGGATGCCCAGTTGTTAATTCTCTCCTCTTCAATTGTATTACTGTTAGGTTGAGTCACAACGATAGCACTTTCAGCCTCCCACAGGCGGTGCTAAGTGTAGATGGTCTGTATGATATCATCACTCATCAGTCTATAGGGTATGTGTTCAAGAGCTCTCACTTTGGCAGTGTTTTGAGATAAATTCTTTGTATGGTTAATCTTTGAATACGTCGGTATCGAGGATACCGAAGAGAACTATCCGCCAGGAAGTTCTGTTGTGTCTCAACTTTGTACAGGTGGTCTAGTCCAAACATCTTCATATGTGTAGCCAGAAGTTTGATCCGTTTCCGATTCACCAGTCCCATGGTTCATACATTCTTGCAATTTAAGGAAACAATGTTATCAGGATCACCACGCAGAAGCCTCAGGGCTATCATGAGGTTGACTTCAATTATTCTATCTTTAACACTGGGACATCCTAGGATAATTTCAGGGCCTATTTTGCATTTTTTCGAGCTTGTCACTGTCTTTCCCGTCACGATGGACCAGGGCTGGTGCGTGGTAATCTATCAGAGATCTTATATAGCCAGGTACATTGTTTTAACAATTCTAATATTATCACCATAGTGCGGGCTGCAAACCCCGCTATACTTCTGAAAGATCTCAGTCTGTCAGTACATTGGCGGGTTAGCAGTTGTATGGCAGGTAGGGTACAAGGGACGGAGACACCCAAGATATTTAAAAGAAGAAACATAGTCAATAGTGTTGTTACCTATCTTGAACTTGGCGGGGCAGCGTTTACAGTTACCAGCTTGTTTGTTGAACACCTTAGTTTTTCAGTGGAGATAATAAGACCGAGGTTCTCACAGGCTGTGTGTACATGGTTCAGGGTGGTTTGCATTTCACAATGAGTTTTAGTATGTACAAGAATATCATCATAGCTGATTGTGATCTTGCTAGGGCTGTCTGGTAATGAATTCATTAATGCGTTCATAAGAACACTGAACAATGTGGGACTAAGTATCAACCAGGTGTGCCAAGTTGCATATCTTAAACTTTGCTTTGTGTCCCTGAAACAGTGCAGCAGCCCTTCTGTTGGTGGGGTAACCACTTGTCCAGTGTAACAGATGACAACATGTATCCAGTTTGGCTAGTTCTTACAATATAAGCTGCCTATTGGCAAAATCAAATGCAGCTTCTAGGTCAAGAAATATGGTGTATCTGTGCCTTTTATCCCTTGCACAGTTGGGAATGTGATGATGTAATTATGGACACCATTACCAGGGAAGGAGGGAGGGAGAGAGGGGGGAGGGAGGGGAGGGAGGGGAGGGAGGGAGGAGGGGAGGGGGGAGGGAGGGAGGGAGGAGGAGGCAGGCAGCGAGGGAGGGAGGGAGGGAGGGAGGGAGGAGGCAGGCAGGGAGGGGCTGGAGGGAAGCTTGGAGGGAAGCAGGCTGGAGGGAAGAGGGGTGAGGAGCAGGGACGCAGGGATGGAGGGAGACATGGAGGAGAGCACAGGAGGCAGGAGAGGGGGAGGCATGGACGGAGGCAGAGAGGAGGCAGGGAGGAGGTCGGGAAGGAGGGAGGGTGGGAAGGAGGGAGGGTGGGAAGGAGGGAGGGTGGGAAGGAGGGAGGGGTGGGAGGGAGGGAGGGTGGGAGGCAGGGTGGGAGGCAGGTAGGGAGGCAGGGAGGGAGGCAGAGAAGGAGGGGGTGGGAGGGAGGAGGGAGGAGGGAGGCAGGGGAGGGAGGGAGGGAGGCAGGGAAGGTGGCAGGGAGGAGGGAGGTGGGAAGCAGGGAGGGAGACAGGTGGGAGGCAGGGAAGGAAGGAGGGGTGGAGGGAGGAGGCAGGAGTGGGAGGAGGAGGGAGGCAGGTGAGGAGGCAGGGGTGGGAGGGAGGCAGGGAGGAGGAGGCAGGGTGGGAGGAGGGGAGGGGTGGAGGCAGGAAGGAGGCAGGGAGAGGCGGGGAGGGAGGCAGGGTAGGAGGCAGGGAGGGAGGCAGGGAAGGAGGAGGCAGGGAAGGTGGCAGGGTGGGAGGCCAGGAAGGTGGGAAGGTGGAAGGCAGGGTGGAGGAGGGCGGAGGCAGGGTGGGAGGAGGGGGGAGGCAGGGTGGGAGGGAGGTGGAGGCAGGAGGGAGGCAGGTAGGAGGCAGGAGGGGAGGGAAGGAAGGGAGGGGAGGAGGCAGGGAGGAAGTGGGAGGGGTGGAGGCAGGCAGAGAGAGAGAGGGAGGAGGAGGAGGGAGGGAGGGAGGGGGGTAATGAGGGAAGCAGGAGGAAGGGAGGGAGGGATGGAGGCAGAAGGGAGGCAGGAGGGGGGACAGGGAGGTGGCAGGAGGGGGTGGAGGCGGGTGGAGGGGCAGGTGGGAGGCAGGGAGGAGGCAGAGAGGAGGCAGGAGGCAGGAAAGGAGGCAGGTGGGAGGCAGGCAGGCAGGCAGGAAGAGGTAGGGAGGGAGGCAGGAGGAGGAGGAAGGAGGGAGGGGTGGAGGCAGGGAAAGAGGCAGGGTGGGGCAGGGAAGTAGGGAGGAGGGAGGCAGGGAGGAGGGAGGGACGGAGGAGGAAGGAGCAGGAGGGAGGCAGGGGAAGGAGGCAGAGGAGGCAGGGAAGGAGGCAGGGAGGGAGGCAGGAGGGAGGCAGGAGGAGGCAGTGAGGAGGCAGGGTGGGAGGCAGAGAGAGGAGGCAGGGTGAGAGCAGAGAGGAGGCAGGTGGGAGTGCAGGAGGGAGGCAGGAGGATGCGGAAGGAGGAGGAGGGAGGCAGGAGGGAGGCAGGAGAGAGGCAGGGAAGGAGGGAGGGAGGGAGGCAGGGTGGGAGGCAGGAGGAGGCAGGATGGGAGGCAGGGAGGAGGCAGGGGTGGGAGGCAGGTGGGAGGCAGAGAGGAGGCAGGGTGGGAGGCAGGGGAGGGGAGGCAGGGAAGGAGACAGGGAGGGAGGCAGGGAAGGAAGGAGGGAAGGGGCAAGGAAGGAGGCA